CTCGAGAGTTTTGCGCGCTTGTGTTCTCGATTCTTGTGCGAGGATCGTGATGCGTGCTTCAAAGTCCTCCCCGTTATGTCTCTGGGTCCTATGCGTGCCTAGTGGGGTATTTGGTAGACGTTTCTTTCATGTAGGATGCAGGAAGTAGTGAATCTGTTGATTGCGCAGGTGACATAATCTCGTAGGCGCTCTTGGACTCTCGTTGTCCATCTTTGTACACCCGGGACCATCAATCCTTTTGTCCGTCCGGGGTTATGAAATTGGTACCGGACTTGTCCGATACGATAATGAAATATTGACCTCATGCACTATAAGACCTAAATAAGCAACGCCGATCGCTTCATCTCTTATTCTTCATCACATAATAGACGATGTGCATTGCATACAATCACATGTGGCTAGAAATTACTAAGCAGTTAAAATTTGAACAAATATATCTCAGCTCATAATGAACTTTACTAGTCGAAATAGAAATCACCAGAATCTACAAATCTTTGCCAATATTTTTTCCAAGTCCTATTAATGGGACTTTTTTCACCTTTTCACATTTTTCACGAATTTGCGATCTAAATCGGTTTTAAATCGATAGGACGTTTAAAAAAATCACTTATCTATCAAGAACGATAGTTCGAAGCCTTCTCCTCGCTCACCAACTGCTCTAGTTATCGAAAATCAACGGCAGTTATCGAAGGACTAGCATCGACCGTTATGGCTTATTATTGTTATTACTAATTATTATACTGTTCCAATGGCTTACTCTATTGCTATGACATTTTGTATACTTGTTTGTAGAACTGCGTTTTAGAGTAGGACTTCATCCCCAGTAAAAATATCCCAAGGTCGGCATTTTCGTTCGGATGCCCAGTTAACAATAAAATGTCTAAACAAATAATACAATAAAATAAATGTCTACATGGAGTTTTCGCCGTTCTAGACAAAACAGATTGTCAAGGTCGTAAAACGACGTAGAACCTTCTAAGTACGCAATCCAGTGACTCCATGGAAAAACTTGCCAAACCAGTACAGTGGCAATGAAAAGGAAATTATACTGAAGTTCGCACTGTAAAGACGGATTGCCCAAATAGTGGATATTTATTTAATATTGCGCAATTATGCCATCAATTTCATGAAGATGTCATTCGTCGAGTATCACCTGTCACCTGTATCACCTGTATCACCTGCAGTCCCGCTGATCGTCGAGTGACTAGCGGGTGCCAGTAAATCTTCCATTTTTCTCTGTCGCCTGCAAGAGCAGCCCAGTGGGTTCTGCTCGCTCTAGGGACTCGTTGAGCATCATATCTTTCTTCTAGGCTTTTCGTTAAGAACTCCGACCATCGAGTCAGTGGCCTTCATGTAGTGCGTTTAACATCCCGAGGAATCCAGTCACAAACGGCTCTTGTCCATCGGTTGTCATTCATACGCATTACGTGTCCGGCTCACCTTATCTTCGACTGTTTGGCGTACAGAACGGCATCTTTGATTTTTGATCGTTGACGCAGATCGGAGCTTCGGTTCCCATCCCTTACTTGTGTGGAACTGGATACTTCTAGCATTGCCTTTTCGACTGCGCGTTCGATAACGCTGAGTGATCTGTCATCCTGCTTACGCATCGACCAGGTTTCTGACGCATACGTTAGAGCAGGAAGTACCGTTGAGTCGAAAAGGTGGGCACGGAGTCGGGTGTTTTTTGTCCTGTTCACTACATCCTCGATACTCTTGAAAGCTCCCCAAGCCGCTCGTTTCCTTCTGCTCGGTTCTGGAGCTAAGTCGTTCAAGATGTTGATTTCCCGACCTTGATAGAGCATTCGGAGATATTCGTTCCGTTGAGCGTGAATGGGGCATAAGAAACCAATCCGTTCCTCATGTTGCTGCTCAAAAATATGTTGCTACTCAATATACATGGTTTTTTATTGTTTTCGTTTTCCATTTCAAACATAGTTCGTCCTACAAATGGGTCAATAATCTTGTGGAGGGTTTTTTTTTTCTCAAAAATATCGTTGCCAACTCATTACAAAAACTAAACAACACGTTTTAACTCAGTCTCCTACCAGTCCTTTTTTAATTCTCGTATGTGCTTTAAAGTTAGTTATACCTACAGTTTTATTTTATGCGAAAACGCTAACATTTGGTACGACTTGAAGCAATCTGATTTTCTCACTTTCTCTATGGAACCACAGCCAATTACTTACTGAATGCTGCTCAGTACATTTTTCAGTGACTCATATTTGTCACCAAGTTTAAATGAAATAGTGAATTTGCTTATTTACTAGTACTTTGCTAATACTATAAGCAGTAAGTTTGTACCCCTTCCATTCCATGTAGCGCAGTGATGGTTAGAGGTGCCCTATAATGCACACCCAGTTATTGCTTCTATTCCGAGTCCTAGGCAAACCATTTCATCATTTTGGTCCACGTCTTCGGAACTCATCAAAAGAATGAAGGATAAAGCCCTCGGCGTTGATCTATTCCTGAGGGATGTGCCATAGATTCGGCTTCATCAAGCATCATTAGAAGTGACTAAATGTACATCCGATCTAGACTACGACTCGCAGTGGTCTGATGTATGAAGTCATTCCTGCTTTCCTCGCTGATAGATCAGCTATCAATTTGTCGAGCCTGGAGGTACGGAAGGCATGGCGAGCACGGGCGGCGAGATCGAACAAGGGCAACGTGTGTATTGCTGCACACCTTAATCCACTGTGTTACACAGGTCCAACGAACCAGTGTGTAGACTAAATATGCATTTTTTCACCATAATGGTTAACGAACTCGAAAACATGCCTCATCCGTTAGCGATTGATCAACACCGAACGTTCTAACTTCTGTTTTGTACCTAAAAGTACACCAATCTCACAAATCACCATCGTCCTCGTAACAAGCTAATCGAGAGATGGCAAATATCCCTCCAGCTAGCGACACCTCAAGGCGACGACTTGAGAAAGCGAAGGCATGACTGTCTGAAGATTTGAATGGAGGAAAGCCTAGCAGAACTACTAAATCACCAATCAATTGGAGGAAAGCCGCACGCGATTTTTTCGTGCAGGTTGTGATTTACAATTCTTAAAGGCGCTTTGCACCCATGGATTCAGCTACTCGACTTACAAACGGATTGAGAACATCTTCTACTCTTGGTAGAAAATGGATAAAGAATAAAGGATAAAGCTCTTGGCGTTGGTCAATCTTTGAGGGATGCGCCATACATTCGACTTCATTAAGTATCGTTGGAGGTGATTGAATGCATATCTGGCCTTTAAAATGATTCACAGTGACCTACCAATGTACAGAACCAGTGCTGCTATCCTACCAGATAAGTCTCGTACCAATTACTCAGTCTGGTAGAAAAAGAAGTTAGCGATATATAAAATCGTTCCGAATGTTGAAGAACATGAAATCACANTGAGGGATGCGCCATACATTCGACTTCATTAAGTATCGTTGGAGGTGATTGAATGCATATCTGGCCTTTACAATGACTCGCGGTGGCCTACCGATGTATCGAGCCAGTGCTGCTATCCCTCCAGACAGGTCTAGTACCAATTACTCAGTCTGGTAGAAAAAGAAGTTAGCGATATATAAAATCGTTCCGAATGTTGAAGAACATGAAATCACATTTATGAGGACTTATATGAAGAATGACAATGTAAAACAATCGATAAACAGGGTTTCATCGGGCATTTATTTTTGCGCGGAAAATATAAGCTTAGCAAAATGACCACAGTGATCCCGAGATATGAGAAACACTCGGAACCTCAGTTGGGCTTCGAACCCGCGATTACCCTATAGCTTTAGAACTTTTAGGAACACAAACAACACCTTCCCGCAAATTCCTCCGCATCCTCTGTTCATATCCTCGTACATTCTCTCTCCGCCTCTCCGCCTTGCTTCGCCTTATCTCTTATCTCCTGCCGATGGGCGTGGTCAAATCGATTACCTCAGGTCCCGCCCACTTTTGCAAACATTGCCGCACGTCCATTTCTCTAAGGCGAAACCATACCTTATTACTCAGCAGTAATGAGTTCTCACAGTTAACTATTCCTTAGATGTTTTTTCCTCTTTTAATTTATCGTTTCTTTTAAATAGTAAATGTGCGAATACAAGTAAGCTATGCTGAAAAGCAGTTTTCCGTTATCGACCATGTATTACTGTGCGGCGGCTATCCATCAACTAGCTTAAATACTTACAACAAATAAACGGCTCTGAAGAAGGCGAAACCGCCGAAACGACAGCTATTGTACTCTAATAAATTCTACATTAACAACCTCGTGTCTGCTTATTGAAGAAAAACATTGAATTATCAATTAATGCCGAGGTTAACAGAAAGTCGGTCTTGGGAAAAGCAGTTTTCCATTCGTAAAATTTCTTGTATTAGTCCCAGCAGATCAGATAAGTGCTGGTAGATCATTGCGGACAGGAACTATTGATTTATCGATCGCGTTTCCGCAAATCAACCTCCATACTTATTTTGTTCCATCTAACCGAACGGAACAATTCTTATTCATTTGCACTTCTACTGAAGAATCTATTCTATGAAGAGTGAAGGTCATCTGAACTGGTTACCAGAAAAAGTCCGCCGTACTTGAGTGCTCTGGAATTAATCAATCGATGTTCCGGCGAAGCGATTTTGGCCTTTGTGTGCCCAGTGGACTGCGTCCGATGACGTTCGCGAATTTTCAGTTCGCATGAAGAAAAGAAAAGTCGAAGATTCGCACTTCATTTACAAAGTTCTTGAACATTCTTGTATCTCATCATGTCGGTCAATTTGTTATCTATAAAGTTCCACGTATGATAAAACTGGGATTTCTGAGCTAATTTTGGCTCTATCATCTGCTTTCTATTCAACTTTTTCTTTTTGGGAGTAAATGTGCTAGCTCTGTGTGACCTTGCTTCACTATTGGCATTTTTTGTTACAATATTAAAGGCCCACTTCTCTTCTGTTAAGGTATCTGTATAGACAGAATCAAGTTATCCTTACTACAGAGTGCAACTAGCCGTCTATAAAAATGGCTTCCAGCCAGGCTCTAATGGCTGAAGAAGGCAAGACCGGACAGGCTGCATTTGAAAAAGTGAGGTGTCGATGATTTAATTCAATAACTAATCTTTCCTTAACGTTCGATCTTTCTTAGAATAGATTATTCAGCCACAGAGTGCTGAGATATCAGCAAAGCTCAAGACCTTAGTTTGCCTTCGAGTGGCGGATTTCATGTAAGCTCCCGGCAAGAGTCACGTGTCCGAAGTTCCCTTGAGGTTCCAAGTTTTGCTCGCATCTTAGCATCTTCGTGGTTGTATTTAGTATTATATACTTTCATGAAGAAAAAATAATACGTAGTAAATAAAGGTGAAGTCATTGTGATGGATTATTCAGCTTAAATACAAATGCTGATTTCATAAAATATTTTGCAGAAAACAGAAAAAGTGATCTTCGATTTGGAGCACAAGTGCATCGGCCTCACTAAAGAACAACTCGAGAAATATCGTAATGATCCATTCTGGAAACCTGTTCGGTTGGTTTCATTTTGGTTAACTTGAAATGTTTTACGGGTTATTGATTGGTATTGATCACTTTCTTAAAACCAGGGAAAGAAATCTACAGTAGTAATGTCTTCACACGTTGTACAGGCCTTAACGTAATCTTTATCTGAATAGTGTTTAGATGCTTGGGTAGGAATTCTGTTCTAGCGCTTTGAGGTTGCTACCTTAAGGTCATTTCCCAGGTCGTTATCAAGGGAGTTGCCAGCTCCTATGGTCCCTATTCTTGGTGTATAGGTCTACTGTTAGCTTGGCCATTGAATACTCAAACTTCTTAGGTGCAATATAACCCAACCAGTGATAGGTGATAGAAACCACCTGTTGCTCATTGGTATTCGAAATGAGGGGGAAAACTGTAGGATTCAAATTGTAGTACATGCAGTATTTGTAGGTCAGTTCAAGGAGTCAAAGAGAAGCCAAAGCTTTATAAAGATGGACTTCATAGCTTGTTTTGCAAAATCTATTGCTAGAGATTGCATATAGCCCAGAAGTTGTTGGGTAAACTTCTTAGTTGTGCTTTTTCATATGACCGAGTTGTATGAGACCACTTTTTTCTATGATTCAACTTAGTGTGCATGGCTTACTCGCTTAAGGACTGTACTGTTCGTTCTGTTCTGGATATCATGGCTAGCGATGTTCGCTGGAGCGGTTTTAATCGTTGTTCTTTCGCCAAAATGTGCCGAGAAACAAAAGCCGGAATGGTGGCAGACGAAGGTCTCTTATCAGGTGAGCAGCCGACACCGAGTTACGTAATCCCACCGTTATCGGATCGCCTAACACCGTTAGTGTCCCGGCATTTCTTGCAGTATAAATTTGCTTTTTAAGTCCTTTACAGATGTTTGAGCTACCAGTTGGTAGTTTCTCTGTTATTTTTCCCAATCTTACGAACACACTTAACATCCTTCTTCCACTGTTTTCGCCTTGCTGTAATCACAAGTGATAAGTTGCAACAAAATCGTATGAAAGTGCAACGGAAATCGCCGTTCGAGTGGAATGACCTCGATTTCGAGCGCTTATCTCTTCCTGTCATCGTACCCAGCCGACAGTCTGTCACGAACGGCACCGCAGACAATCGAACACCACGTTACTAATTTAGTCCTTAAAGGGTTGATTAGAGGTTTAACTAGGGCGCTGCAGACTACGCATATGTTTTAGAAAAGCGAAATTCTACCATAAGGATTTATATCCTATAAACAAACGTTTTAAAGCCTTGACTTTGCCTGACACTTTGCTTGCAGCCAAAGCAAATGTGGTTATGAAGAACTTCAAAACCCTATGTAATCGCAGTAATATAGTGCTGACATCTCAAACGCTTGCGCTTTTATTGAAATAAGTTGTTGGATCGAAAGAGCTGCTATCATTTGAGCACTTCTTATTGAACGTTCACTTCGATATTTCTTCCAAGGAAAACGTGGTTCGGCTCAAATATTTTTCAAAAGTGTTAATTTTTGGGCCAAGTTTTTTTTCCACTTATACGGCTTATTTAAGCGAATCACTGACATGTGGTTACGGTAAGTTCAGGCTTCAAGGGTTCCTGATGCTTTAGTTTCGATTAAACAAATCAAACATTGAGGTTTAGACATCAGTAATTCTCATTTCGTCACATTATAGTTGCTCACACCAACCTTCTATGATACCGACAACGATGGTGTCGGCGATTTCCAAGGAATCACTGAAAAGCTGGATTTGTTGAGGAAAATAGGAGTTACCACGGTCTACCCAAGTCCAGTTATCGAAATAGAGAAGGTAGTAAGGTTTGGTTTTTTCTTAATATTCTTTAGGTTCGGAATCTATCTGAAACGTCGTTGTTGAACTCTTTTTATTCGACTATATCCTTTTTAAATTGCCATATTGTTTTTAATTCACTAATTCAATACTTTTCACGTCTTATTATTTCATCGTTAGGAAAAAGAGGCATTCTCTCGAGAAACATTTGCAACAAGTTTGACCTACCTAACTCTTTAAAGGGAGAGAGTTTGGTTTTCATTGTATTTATTAGGAGTATTGTAATTTATTAGATACACAGTATACTGTAATAATTCATAGTTGGTGGAAGCTTTTTTTCACATGACTTCTCCTCAGGTTGAATGGAATATAAATCATCTGCGTATGTGATCAAAGCACTAAAAGCGTGTATTGATAACAATTCGGAATAGCCATATATTCAATAAATTCTCAGATCGAATAGGAAATTTGTAAGGGATTAGGATTGGCCTTCTTTGTAGTCGCGCACAATGTGTGAACAATCCTGATCTTATTTACTCTGGACCACTCGTCCGCTTACTCGGAATTCATCTATGTCGCAGACGTTTACGTTGCTAAAGAATAATAGAAGAGGCGTATTCGCTCCAGAAGCTTTGTTCTGTATTTCGAGGAAAAGAAACTTTAGTAAATTCATCACATTTGTTTTAGATCGAGTTGAAATAATTACTATGTAGGAGTCAAACATGATTCAATACCGATGACTACCATTGCTCAACACCCCTTTGGAAGTTAGAGAATTGTCGCATGCAATAGAAAAGTTGGATTTCGAAGTCTGTAGTGGTAGAGCTTGTATGATGTGGGTGGCCTTTACTTGTTTATCTTACAGAACCACTTTTTTTTGATGATCTGATCGTTATTACTGTTTTTTGAGAGCTGCGGAATTCCCTAGACAAGTACAATCAGATGCACTGCTTAAGTTATATTGTTATCAACACCATCTTTACCTTTAGTTTATTATAATGAAGCACCGTAACCCGGAAGTTCTTTTCGTTTGTAGATACATATAAGGTTCATCTAATCAGTTCTCCCTAGAACAAAGAGAGAACGATGTTAGTGATCAGTGCTGTTTCTATCGTTAAGATGTCGATAATCGACGTATATGTAGTGCACATATTTTACTAAATTCGTCAAATTTGACTCTTATATTATCTTATATTCTTTTCAAATGGTGGTACGATTTAGAATAATCAAGGCAAATAGTAATAGGTGAATTAATTGATTGATTTCAGGATGACTACTTCAATCCCTACAATGTTATCGATCATTTCATGGTTGATAAGAGATTCGGTACTGAAGATCAGTTTAAGGAACTCATTGGAACGGCTCATAATAGAGGTGTGCTTATCGGAATTACTGGATTGCTGACATTTGGCTCGCGATTTATTCATTTTTAATGGAGTGGTTATTCACACTAAATGCTTGAAGTTCTAAAAATTTTTGATTGCGATCTTAGTGTCGTTTTCTTGTTCAGCAATCGCGAGGTTTTTAAACAGCATACATTTACTTCCATAAAAAACAATACAATACAATGCTAGCTGACGTTTCGGCAGTATCGCCTTCTCCAGAACCTGGAAGTGTATACTGATATACAATCTACTAGGCCAAACGCTTCAATAACACTTACAAAAAGACGAAAGACCCTTTGGTAATTACATGATCAACAACTTCTCCAAAAAACCCACCCCTTTTTCGTGACTTCCAGTGAGGAAGTTTAGAACAGCTGATTACAGTCGCATGTTGTTGACGACTACACCATCCCACATCAAAAATCGATGCGAACGTACGGGATCAGGTCGCGTATGACCTCCGGGCATTCATCCCTGCTATTCATTGTAGGGTCTTTGGCATTGATCCAAGCGTACGGGATCAGGTCGCGTATGACCTCCGGGCATTCATCCCTGCTATTCATTGTAGGGTTTTTGGCATTGATCCAAAAAACCTCAAGGAGTTTTCGCGCTGGTGTTTTGGACTCCTGTGCAAGGATACTGACTTCATCAAAATCAAGAGGCGGCGACACTACCACCATCTCCTTTCCCAAAAACGTTTTTTAGACAGCAGGACCCAACGATGGAGTTGACATGAAATTCCGCGCGTTTTCGGACGGCGTTCTCAAGACCCTTGATCACTACCGCGATAGAAAGTTTATCTCTAACCTTACAGCCGCACAAAAATGTGGCATTTGGGAATTAGGGAATTAATAAACTCGAAAACAACAAGACTGTCTGTTAGTGATAAGGGAGGATGCCAGCTGGATGTTGAGATAACAGAGAAACATCTTAGTGATGCTACTCTCTATCGCCCATCCTCTGAAAAGGAATANCGAAAGCTAAACAATCAATGGGTCAGCGTGGCAAAGGCTGCGGGTTTTAAAATCATCGGTTATTTCGCACTTTAAAATCGAGAAACCAACATGTCCCGTCCTATACCTACTTATTAAAACACATAAGTTGGTATCACCTGATGATCATGCGTCAACCAATCCGTCATCATTTAAGGTTAGACCGATCATCAGCTGTGTAGACGGGCCAACGGATAGAATAACCTGGTTTTTAAGCCTGATACTTACCCAGTTGCTTAACCACATTCCAGCTCACCTCACAAACACCCAAATGTTCCTAGAACGTCTACGTAACGCGTCTCCTAATAACGCGTACGTGATGGAGTCTTTCGACGTTACCGCACTGTACACCAACATATCGAATGACTCCGCAATGCAAGCCATCTTCGAACTCCTTGTTGAACATGAAGGAAGAATAAATATGAATGGCTTGTCCATCCAGTAGCTAATGGCTCTCTTAAAGGAGTGCCTAAACTGCTCGATTTTCAGATGGTCTGGGAAATATTTCGCGCAAATAAGGGAGTTGGCAATGGGACAGCGATTGGCGCCAAGCCTTGCCATTGTGTTTAAGTCTATGATAGAAGCCCCTGTTCTCGATCTCCGGCTACTACTCTTCTGCAGATATGTAGATGATTGTTTTGTCGTCTTCTCTACGTAGGAGGAAATGGACAAATGCTTTGAATTATTGAACGAGCCGTCCGAGTACATAAAGTTCACCCGGGAGAAACCGAGAGAAAACTGGCTTCCGTTTTTGGACATCCAAATAAACCTATCAAGTAGCGGTTACCTGACAGAGTGGTATCGAAAGCCAAGTAACAAGAACATCCTTGTTCATTTCCTTTCTTTCCACCCTTCACACACAAAGAGAGCGATTGTGAGAAACATGTTTCAAACAGCCACCTCTGTGTGAACTACCAGGGAATTAAAGGAAGAATCGCGCGACTTGGCTCGGCAAATAGCCATCTCCAATGGCTACGAATTAGTAACCCCACGAGATAAGTTTACAAGAAGAACGACGCGCCCACGCGAAACACTTGGCCAAAACAAAATCCCGTTTATGTTGCTTTTTATAAGCGATGAAGTAAGCGTAGCTATAAAACGATGCTTAAGAAGGGCAAGTCTAGAGGAATCGGTAGCGATTGTTGAAATACCACCGGCTACTCTACGTCGCCCATTAGTTCGCAACCGCCTGTATGACCGTCTGTGTGAAGCAACAAATTGCGTAATTTGCCGTTACGGCAGGGACGGTGATTGCATGAGTTCAGGTACGATATACCTGATCTCTTGTAATAATTACGGAGATGAATATATTGGCGAAACGGGGAGACCTTTGTGTATCCGTATAAAAGAACACCTAGATGGCAAACGAAAACTAAGACGAAGCACCCCGCTAGGCACGCATAGGATACAAAAGCATAGCGGAGACGATTTTGAAGTAAAAGTCAACATCCTTGCACAGGAGCCCAAAACACCAGCGCGAAAACTCCTTGAGGATTTTTGGATCAATGCCAAAATCCCTACAATGAATAGCAGGGATGAATGCCCGGAGGTCACACGCGACCTGATCCCGTACGTTCGCATTGATTTTTGATGTGGGATGGTGCAGTCGTNCTTCCCACCCTTCACACACAAAGAGGGCGATTGTGAGAAACATGTTTCGAATAGCCACCTCTGTGTGCACTACCAGGGAACTAAAGGAAGAATCGCGCGTCTTGGCTCGGCAAATAGCCATCTCCAATGGCTACGAAATAGTAACCCCACGAGATAAGTTTACAAGAAGAACGACGCGCCCACGCGAAACACTTGGCCAAAAGAAAGTCCCGATCATGTTGCCTTTTATAAGCGATGAAGTAAGCGTAGCTATAAAACGATGCTTAAGAAGGGCAGGTCTAGAGGAATCGGTAGCGATAGTTGAAATACCACCGACTGCTCTACGTCGCCAATTAGTTCGCAACCGCCTGTATGACCGTCTGTGTGAAACAACAAATTGCGTAATTTGCCCTTACAGCAGGGACGGTGGTTGAATGAGTTCAGGTACGATATACCTGATCTTGTGTAACAATTGCGGAGATGAATATAGTATGAGTATCCGTATAAAAGAACACCTAGATGGCAAACGAAAACTAAGACGAAGCACCCCACTAAGCACCCAAAAGATACAAAAGCATAGCGGAGACGATTTTGAAGTAAAAGTCAACATCCTTGCACAGGAGTCCAAAACACCAGCGCGAAAACTCCTTGAGGATTTTTGGATCAATACCAAAAACCCTACAATGAATAGCAAGGATGAATGCCCGGAGGTCACACGCGACCTGATCCCGTACGTTCGCATCGATTTTTGATGTGGGATGGTGCAGTCGTCAACCACATGCGACTGTAATCAGCTGTTCTAAACTTCCTCATTGGAAGTCACGAAAAAGGGGTGGGTTTTTTGGAGAAGTTGTTGATCATGTAATTACCAAAGGGTCTTTCGTCTTTTTGTAAGTGTTATTGAAGCGTTTGGCCTAGTAGATTGTATATCAGTATACACTTCCAGGCTCTGGAGGAGGCGATACTGCCGAAACGTCAGCTAGCGTTGTATTGTATTGTGTTTTTATGGAAGTAAATGTATGCTGTTTAAAAACCTCGCGATTGCTGAACAAGAAAACTACACATTCATATTCCAATGCCGAGGTTAAGAGAAAGTCGATCCTGGGAACTATCCGTTATTTTTATTCTCTTAATATATTCCTGGAAAGCTTGGATAATTCGTAAGCCATAAGAAAAGTTTCCCACTTAGCATTANGGCAGGGACGGTGATTGCATGAGTTCAGGTACGATATACCTGATCTCTTGTAATAATTACGGAGATGAATATATTGGCGAAACGGGGAGACCTTTGTGTATCCGTATAAAAGAACACCTAGATGGCAAACGAAAACTAAGACGAAGCACCCCGCTAGGCACGCATAGGATACAAAAGCATAGCGGAGACGATTTTGAAGTAAAAGTCAACATCCTTGCACAGGAGCCCAAAACACCAGCGCGAAAACTCCTTGAGGATTTTTGGATCAATGCCAAAATCCCTACAATGAATAGCAGGGATGAATGCCCGGAGGTCACACGCGACCTGATCCCGTACGTTCGCATTGATTTTTGATGTGGGATGGTGCAGTCGTCAACCACATGCGACTGTAATCAGCTGTTCTAAACTTCCTCATTGGAAGTCACGAAAAAGGGGTGGGTTTTTTGGAGAAGTTGTTGATCATGTAATTACCAAAGGGTCTTTCGTCTTTTTGTAAGTGTTATTGAAGCGTTTGGCCTAGTAGATTGTATATCAGTATACACTTCCAGGCTCTGGAGGAGGCGATGCTACCGAAACGTCAGCTAGCGTTGTATTGTATTGTGTTTTTATGGAAGTAAATGTATGCTGTTTAAAAACCTCGCGATTGCTGAACAAGAAAACTACACATTCATATTCCAATGCCGAGGTTAAGAGAAAGTCGATCCTGGGAACTATCCGTTATTTTTATTCTCTTAATATATTCCTGGAAAGCTTGGATAATTCGTAAGCCATAAGAAAAGTTTCCCACTTAGCATTATGGCACATGGTTTCGAGAACATGAAGTTGAGATTACTTCGTATTATGCTGGAGAGAAAAGCGATCTAAAGTTTGCCTTTATCGAAGGTTGAAGAGGATAGAACGCCTATGCATGTATCGCATACATGAGAATCTCGAAAATAAATATGGGCTTTTGTCGGCAGTTTCATCTACAACGGTTGAACAGGTCAAACAAGCTGTAAGCGATATGATTTCTTAGGAATTCAAGCGTACAACAACTTGGTGACAAACCCCCGTCTCATTAATAGTCCCGATGGTTAGGCTTTTTGACAAAGACAATGTAAAATAAGATACTGTTCGTGTCCCTTGAACAAATGCTATCCACTAAACTGTGAAAAGGGCTATTAATGGAGCACTTGATAAAACTCACGTGAATCATTCACTAACTAGCTGTTGAACACGTTTTTCGAGTTTTCATAAAACTTTTTTGTCTATTGGACCCATTCTGATATAGATTAATCGCATTTCCATGACCTTTTATACTCGATTATTTTCCTCACATCCATCGCCCATGATAGTCCTTGCATATTTTTTTCATACGTGAGTTCGGTTATTGCTTGAATATTTCTGTTCTTTATAAATATTGAACGCTGGTCAGGTCAATTTTTCTTGCAGTAACTCCCACGACCGGCTTTCTATTAACCTCGGCATTGAACAAGTAATTCTTCGTATTTTTGTTGAGCAAACGCGAGGTGTTATTGTTCTTTATTCATGAATAAACTGACGTTTTGGCGGATTTCGCCTTCCTCAGAGCTTGGAAAGGTCAAGTTGACAGCAATCTACTCGGCCAGACGCCTCCATAACCAAACAAAGAAACTCTAAACCAAGATGTCAATCACGTTGAACACAGCTTTGCACACTCACCGCTTTCTATGAGGTTTCCACTGAGTATGTCACGTAGAGACTAACCGCACAGAAATCACATGAAAGTATAATGTGCCCCTCCCATCAGAATAGCAGTCTTGTATACTGCCCTATATCACACGTGATAATGAGGCATTCTTCCCTGCGGTTCATTTTCGGATTTCTGGAATTAATCCAGAATGCCTCGAGAGTTTTTCGCGCCTGTGTTCTTGATTCGCGTGCGAGGATCGTGACACATACTTCAAAGTCGTCCCCGTTATGTCTCTGGGTCCTATGCGTGCCTAGCGGTGTATTTCGTCTATGTTTGCCGGCTAGGTGTTCTTTCATGCAGACACAGAGGGGTCTACCCGTTTCGCCAATGTATTCGTCACCACACGTCTTACAGGAGATCAGATAAACTATACCCGAGCTCATGCAATCACCGTCTCTACCACTGGGGCAAATTAAGCAATTTTGAGTTGCACATAGACGGTCATATAGGCGGTTACGAACTAGCTGGCGCTTAAGATTACTCGGTGGTATTTCAACTACGCTCACCGAATTCTCTAAGCCCGCCCTTCTTAAGCAGCGTTTTATAGCTGTACTTATATCATTTGAGATGAAGGGTAGGATAAACGGGACCCTTCTATCNTGGAGAAGTTGTTGATCATGTAATTACCAAAGGGTCTTTCGTCTTTTTGTAAGTGTTATTGAAGCGTTTGCCCTAGTAGATTGTATATCAGTA